TTTTTTAAAATTTTTTTTTTTTCAACGTTTGTTTATTTTTGGGACAGAGAGAGACAGAGCATGAACGGGGGAGGGACAGAGAGAGAGGGAGACACAGAATCAGAAACAGGCTCCAGGCTCCGAGCCGTCAGCACAGAGCCCGATGTGGGGCTCGAACTCACGAGCTGTGAGATCATGACCTGAGGTGAAGCTGGACGCTCGACCGACTGAGCCACCCGGGCGCCCCCCAAGGGCCTCACTTCTACCGCTTACTCTTTTTTCAGAAACCTCAGTAAGGGTCTGGATGTCTCTAATAGAGATTAAAGAACTGTCACATTTTTAGGAATTCACGTTGTTTGCATCTTACGCCAAAAAAAATACCCCAGGTGCACGTCATCGGGCTCCAGGAGTGTGGACGGGCCTGGCGTGTTCTCGTCTTGGGTGGGAATACTTAGCAGCCGAGCTCTCTCTGCCCTGTGCGCTCCCCCAGGGGCTTCTGCGTCTCCCCCCGGCGCTGGGGGCTGTGCCCGTGAGCCGGACGCCCAGCCGGCTGCCCCAGCGTGTCAACCCACAAATCCTGCCGTCGTCATCTGTGGGGTGGTCTCACCAGCCACAGGTGAGGAGTCTCGACTGTGACCGGCGGACCAGACACGCTAATTCACAGACGGGCAGTGAGCTCCGGAAGCCCTGCCGGCCGTCCAGAGCTGGCCCACGGTGGGGACGCTGCCTGCCCGCATGGCTCGGTCTCATAACCGGGGAGCAGGCTCGTGGCAGGCGGCCGCACCTTCCTCCACCGGGTGGATGTTGTCCCCACCGGGATTCTGTCGAGTCCCTCTCCTGTGGTATCTCCCCTGAGGGCCTGCTGTCTCTAATCTCCGTTGCTGTTTTTTTCCTTTTAGTTAGAGCTACCGCGTGGCAGGGCAAGTGAGGGGAGCTCTTTCTAGTCCGTTTCCTTCTCACGTCTCGTGTGCTCCGATCCTGGCCGAGCCCTGCACACGGGGCTTGGAGCCGAGCGTCGGAGCCCCTGCCTGGTTGGAGCCCCTTCCCCGGGGGTCAGCTGGGAGGGCAGGACGCAGGGCCCAGTGGGGAACACCCTGGGAATCCAGAGAGGAGCTGACACTCAATCCAGCTCTCCCAGAACCCTTTCTTTCTTTAAGGTTTACAAAATACCGCGTCAAAGAAATTTAACGGGTTTCTTTATCCAGGCCTTCTCAGAGGCCTTAATGTGGTGATGCTTTATAAACCATCAAGGAGGCAACAGCCTCCAGCATTTTCCTAACTCGGGACCTGGACGCTGGCAGAGTCTGGAGACTGCCTGGTGACAGGTCAGGGTCCTGGTCGCATTTGGCCGTGCACAGATTGAGACTATGCGGTGCCTTGGTATTTCCCAGGGAGACAGTGGCAGTGGTGGGGAGGGGCTCTGTGTGCCCCTCCGGAGACCCAGGCTGTGTCGCTAACAGTGTCACTGTCCAGAAGTGAGGAGCGTTGGGGCCAGAGATGGGCTTCCGTCCATGGAGTCGAGCGTAACTGAATCTTTACTCCAAGCCAGCTCCTCCTGCCTGGCGAGGGGGGCTGGCCCTGGGGCCTGTCTGGGGGCCATAGATGCCACCTTGTTCTCCCAGCTGATTCCAGCTGATTGCGTGGACGGAAGGGGAAGGGGAGAGTCTGCTGGTCTGGCTCCTGGCACGGTTCTGAACTGAGTTTTCCTGTCTTGCTGCTGTTTTAAAATGACCACTGCGATACCAGGACCTCGCGTCTGCTCCAGGTGCCCCAGACGACTGGGGTTTGAGTTCCGGCTCGGCCCCTTGAGAGCCAGGCACCCTCGGGCAATCTCTTAACCTGGCTTTAACTTCCAGACCAGGCCAACATCAGGTTTGTCTCAAGGACTAAGTTAGGAAGTGTGGACAGAGCACCTGGTGAGTGACCGGCCCAGAGCGCTCGGTCAGCAAAGGCGCTGCCTCTGACGGGCCCCCTGCTCTCTGCTCTTGTATTCCAGGACCTGGTGACGATGGTGGAGCAGCTGGCCAGATTCCTGGGGGTGTCCTGTGACAAGGCGCAGCTGGAGGCCCTGAGCGAGCACTGCCACCAGCTGGTGGACCAGTGCTGCAACGCCGAGGCCCTGCCCGTGGGCCGGGGTACGCACGCGGCCCCTCCCCCCTGCCCCCCACGTCAGCGTCCTCTGCCCTGGGCCACGTTTCTCCAGAGCCCTCTGCTCCGTGAGGGCCAGAAGGCCATCCGAAAGCCGGCTGCTGTGGATGGAGCCCCGCGGGGCCCTCCGCTGGCATTTGCCTTGTAGCCGTGTGGGTGGCCTTTTAGGTCACGGGGAGAAGGCTGGGATGTCCTGGGCTTTGTGGGTGGACGTTTCAGGCAGACGCCTTCCCAGACACCCCGCCCAGCAGAGCCCGGGAGGGGCTTGGGGCTGTGAAGTTTCGAAGCTCGGGGCCTGCAGATGGGCCCTCCGTCCCCGCGGTGGGTGCTGGTGCTGCGTGGGCTTCTCGGAGGCCGGCGCTCGCTCCTGGCACAGAGCTGGCTCTCAGGCCTGAAGCACTTTGAGGCGGAGGACACAGTCCAGGCAGGAGCCCTCTCCAGGTCCGCCCCGGCTGCTGTCTGTCCTTCAAGGCTCATGATATTTGAAGCCACCTGACCGCGGAGAACTCGGGCATTAAGATAAATGCCCTGTCCCCCGGTTGGTGGCCGTGGCCACGGCAGCCACCCTCTTGGCAAGTGTGAATTGCCCGTGACGCTGGGTGCCGCAGACCTGCCTCTGGTTCCCAGCTGGGTGAATTCAGAGCGTCCGCAGGTGACGGAATGTTCCAGGGGCCGGCCCGGAAGTGCGGCTGGAGCCAGCTGCGCATCTTGGACGCTCAGGCCTACCTGGGCTGGCGCCGCGGACCGGACGCTGTGGCGCGTCCTGCGGAGGGGCCCCTCCAGCTTTGTGCCCTTCCTCTAGACCGGGGCGGCCCGAGGCGGCCGTTCTCAAGGTCAGGCGGGGGGTGCCCTCCTGTAAAGGCAGAGCAGTCGACCGAAACCACAGTGCCTCGCAGATTATTTCCCTGGCTGCATCTTCACAAATATTTATTATTTAAAATTTATTTGCTCTTTTTTTAGTTTTGCTTTTGCTGTGTTTTGTTATCCTTGGATGTGACCTTCTCCAAAATACCCCTTTTGGTTCGTTTGCGTGGTAACGAAGTGGCGAGAACATACTGCGTGCCCATATGCTCCTTCTGATGTGTTTGCTTTATCATTGTTTACCTTGGTTTTGCTTTATTTCAGTTCTTTGATTTTGTTTTCTTTTAGCACATTGCCTCTTTGCTCAGAAGACCTCCTTGCGTTGGTGAGAACGTAGGGCTTGAGCAGACAGCTGCGTTGCTTAAATTTGATTCATATCACAGCATATATTGCACTGTCTTGATTCCAAACCCTAAACCAGGTGGGTGACTCCTTTGATGAGCTCTCAGCTGCCTCAGCTGAGAAAAATAATCGTGGAAAAATATATTTACAGTGTCGCTGGTCTAGAAGCTTCTAATTTTGTCCCTTAGGTATCATTAGAGGGTAGCAAGAACAGCCTCTCCCGTTTGGTTTTTTTTTTTCCTCGCCGACACTGATGTCTGATTTTGCATTACCGACGAGAAAAATCCTCGTCGTGGCAGATCTATTGGCTCAGCGTTTGCGGGCTTGCAGTTTCATACTTGAGGTCCTGCCAGGACAGGGGCTTCTGTTATAACCGAGCTAACGAAGTCTATTTGCTGGAGACGGTCAGAGCTCCGATCTCAGAGATGCTGACGCGGAAAGGAATTCTAAATGAGCATTTCTGTCCCCCGAGGCTGTGTTACTCCAAAGCATGATGGCAGTGCCCCGGTGACGGCCTTCACGGCCCCTGGAGGTGGGGGCTTAGAACCCCCCACTCCTGCCGCCCTCCCGGTCACCGTTCACATTTGACCAGACCAGCCGAAGATTTTGCAGTTCACGAGGAAAGTGAGTTCAGTGGCTTCGGGGAGGCATTTTGGGCTCTCTTTCCCCGAAGCCTTCATGAGTGAACGGGTAGCCCGTACCTGCTCGTTGGTCGGCGGGCTCCGTGCCCCTGCACGCCTGCCAGGAAAGGTCTTGTGTTTTGATCGAGCCCCTGCCTGAGCCGGAGCAGCAAAGAGCGGCCGGAGATCGCCCGCGACCCACGCGGGGCTGAGTGGGCGAAGCACACACTCAGCGTCTAGTTGTACAAGTGCGTTTCCAGTGGGGTCTTCTGATCCCTTTAAGTTCCTCCCCGAGGTTGCAAGGGCGGGCTTCTCAAAATCTTCACCCTTGACCCAGCCAGGAGGCCTCCTGCTCACCATGAAAGGTTCTGTCTTTTTGGATGATTTTTTTTTTTTTTTCCTTTTTAAATTCTCCACAAGCAAATGCCACCTTGGCGGAGCTGTCGAGTCGAGTGAATAATGCTGGCACAGAGGACCCAAGTCCACACGATGCCTAGAGCAGCAGATCTGCTCCCCGGAGACTGTCTGTCCTCCAGGGTGTTGTGAATCCCCCGCCCTGTGCCTGGGTGCTGGGCATCCGCCAGGGAACAGGGGCAGAGGCCTTGCTTGCGAGCCTCAGCTCTGCGTATCTGTGCCCGTGGGCCCCACCCAGCGGGGAAGGGACACCAGGATGACCAGCCTCAGGGAAACGGGTTCAGGTGGCCTGTCCTGCCCCCGCTAGGCCAAGCTCAGAAGGGTCCAGAAATAGATCTGGAACCTTCCAGAACCATTTCCAAGGCTCCCTTTGGTTCGGTATCTGGCCCGGCGGCGAGTGAATTCAGCACACTCTGCTCTTGTTTGTGTTGCAGGAAGAGTCGGGCTGTGGAAGGACATCTTCACTGTCTCCATGAACGAGAAGTTTGATTTGGTGTACAAACAGAAGATGGGGAAGTGTGACCTGACGTTTGACTTTTATTTATAATCACGGCGACGGCAAACTTGCATGCTCACAGCACCCAGACACTCTACTAGCTAAAAGTCCCGTATGCACTCATTTGTTCCTTGCTGGACGAACTCCGGAAGCAGCGTGAGGCCGGGGGGAGGGAGGGAACGGCGGAGACGCCGGAGGAAGAGGGGGCCCTGCTTCCCCTCCGGAGCAGCCGTGTCGCCTTTGGGCTTTGAAGTCTCTCCGTGTCCGACCACAAGCGTTGTAAAGCTGGCGGTTCTGACGGCCTGTATCATAAGTATAGAGTCTGTAACATACGCAGCTAGAACGTCTGCCTTTTACAACCCCACATTATTTATTGTATTTTATAGAGCTTTTCACTTGGAAATCTAAATAAATGTCAGTAAACCAAATAGAAGTTCATTTCCGAGGGGACTCAGGAGCGAGCCACACCCAAATGGTAGGAAGATCTCAGGGTTGACTCTTTATTTTTGTAGTTCTGTTCTGTATGGCACAGCCGTTCTGTTCTCACCCGGTTCGGAGGTGAAGACACAGGAGGAGTTGGGTGTGTGGGGGCCGCTGTTCCTTTCGATGAGTTCAGTGCTCTGTAACCTTCCTGAAACAAAGCAGAGACTGTCCGCTCGGCATCTGCAGGGAGGATGACCCTCTGCCAGGGACTCCCAGCGGGTGGCCTCAGACACCCGATACGGAGGAACCAGCAGAACGTTCCTTGAGGGAACCTGCCGGGGAGGCCGGCCGACGGGCTCTCACACGGTGACCGGAGAACCTGCCGCAGAGACCGAGCGTACGTGGAGTCTGAGTTTTCCTTCCACGAACTCTCGTTCCCTGAGGCAGAGACCTCTTTATGCTGGCGAGCAGTTGCTCCATAGTAAGTTCCTCAGACTCGCTCATCGGTCAGTCTGTTCTGTGTGCACCCGAGGCTCCCGGCCACGGGAGAGCCACTTTGCAGGTTCAACGCCCTGTTTCACTCAGACTGGTCGGCCGCCTCGCCTTTGCACCCCAGTATACCTGCGGGCGCAAGGCCTTTGCACCCCAGTGTGTCTGCGGGAGCACAGGTGATGTCTTCACCGCCCCACCCCTTGCTTCGTCGTCTGGCCCGCATTTGGCTGGGGAAGCAGTGAGACGCGGCCAGGCAGCGGCCGGGCCGGCCGCCAGTGTGCGTGTCACCGCCGCGGCGGGACCGGGGTCGTCTTGGAAGTTTACGTGGCCGGCAGGCGCCCCCGGTGGTGGCTGGAGGGTCGCCACCACGTGTAAGGGTCTCTGTGCTGTGTTGCTGTCTTGGGAGAGGTGCAGACACACGCCGGTGTTTTATGCGGCATTGCATGGTGGGCTTGGCTGCGCCTTTTCTGTGTATCTGTGAGGGAGGCTGCTTTCTGTGAAATTTCTTTTCTATTTTTCTATTTTTAGTACTGTATGGATATTACTGAGCACCACACATGATCTGTCTGTGCTTGCTTGCATCTTTAATAAAGACACGTCCCATGCCTCGTGTTGAGCGCGTGCTGATGAGTGCAGAGGGGTAGCCTTCCAGGGCAGTCGCGACTGTGAGCCCCGCTGACACCCGGTCCCCGGGGTTGGCCGCCGAGGGTCTCAGACCCACGCTGGTTTGGCTGTTTCTCTCCGCTCTAGACTTTCCAGGCGGTGAATCCCCCCTCGCTATTTGTCCGGTCACCTTTGGCATTACTTACGGGCCGAAAGGAGGGCTGGGGAAAAGGAGATGGGGGTGTGTGGGGCCTGCCCGGGGAGACCCCGTGTTTCACGCGGCGCACGGCGGTGTGTTGAGACCAACCCGGCTGATTGCACTCGACCACACTCGACCGCTTTGAATTCCAGAGCCTGCCTTCCTGATTCCTGGTGGCAGGAAAATCCAGGACGTCGTTTTACCTGATAAAGCTGGGGCTTTCTGGAAAACACATTTCTTTTTCAGACGGGACCTTTCCTTTAGGACTCGGGTGGAACCCCAGAACTGATGTTGGTCTCTGAAATTACCCTGGATCCCAAGCCCCAAGTTAGTCAGTGGAGTATCCAGTCTGCTGCCCCAGAGGGTCTGCTCCCAGCCCATTTGTCAAGCACCTGAAATAAGGCAGCAAATGAAGGCAAAGTGGGCGAATCAGGCAGCAGGGCGGGACCGGGTAATCGAAGTGCTGATTTACCAAGTGTCTCCCCATCCCTGCAGACTTGCTTTCACTTCCCTTCCTGGACTCGTTTATTCAGTAAACACTTGAGCACCTACGATGCCCCGGGGCTGCTGTAGGCGCTGGGGGTACGGCCGGGAGCATAGAAGGGCCTGGCCTGCATGGTGTTCCTCTCTGGGGAGGAGATGACGCCCCCGTCACAAAACCTGTGTGAGGTCAAGCTCAAGAGGACTCCAAGGGACCCGGTGATAGCCGAGATCAGGAGGAAGTGAGGGGACCAGGCTTGAGGCCCTCTGGGGTGGGGGGCCCAGGAGTGGGTGGGGAGGGCAGGGAGGGGGCTGGGCAGCGAGAGGAGGCTGGTGTGACAGGAACTCAGTTTTGGAGGGTAGGCAGGAGCCAGCTCACCGAGGGCCTTACATGTCACAGGAGTTTGGATTTTGTCCCAAGAACTAGGAAGCCACAGGAGGGTTTAATCAAAGGGACACTGACCGGTTTGCATTTTTAAAAGCCCCCTGACAGCAAATGGATTACAAGGCCTTTCTCCTGGCTGTGTGAGTCACTCAGTCACAAAATGAGGGGTGGGGGGCTATTTTAAATGATCCCAAGGGCCCTTCTGACCCAATAGTTGGCTCTACACGTTCGTGGGCAGCGTGTGCGAGGGTCTGCACATTACCTGCAGTTCCTGCCTGGGGCCCTTGGAGCTAAGACGAGGGCAAAATGATTCGAGGCACAGGTGCCGTGCAGCTTGCGACGAGGCCCCGGACGGGTGGAGCAGGTGAGAGCGGCCGGGGAAGACTGTGGACTTGACAGCTGCCGCGGGATTCCCAAACGGCAGGGTCACAGACCAACAAGATTGCGACAAGCATTTGGGGGACCAGCAGAGAGGGCTTTACTCCCAAGCAGTAGCGTTTGGCCGCAGCCCCGCGGCAGTGTGTGTGCTGGCCTGGCTCGACACTGGGCCACCTGGGACACGCCATCTGTTTTCCCTCCACGCGCCCCCATCGCTTCATCCGAGGGGGGACCAGGAAGGGCTTCCCAGTACAGATTCACTGGCCCTCCCATCGGAGCAGATCAGCCACGTGACTGGTTTGACCCGGTGTCGCAATTTACACAGTGGAGACCATCTTCGTCCATACCCCCTTCCTGGCGGGGGACCTAACAGGAGGCGGTGGCTTCGGACCAGGGATGGAGCGTCAGCACCGCCCCCCTGGTGGCCACGCCCCCTCCGCCACGCCCCTTCGCAGGCCACGGGATGGAGCATCAGCGCGGCTCCCTGGTGGCCACGCCCCCTCCGCCAGCCGACTTCCTCGGGCCACAGCCAGGAGGTCCCTCCCTCCCTCCCTCCCTCCTGTGGCCTCAGCCCTGGGGATACAGGCCGGGCGCCCAGTGTCTGTCCTGGGAGGTCCCAAGTGCGGGACAGTTTTCCCACCACCTGAGCCACCGCTGTTTGAAATGGGTGGAGGTCAGGTGCTCGGGTGCCCATCGCTCTCCTGTAGCGTTTGGTCCCAGCCCCTCCCGTGCAGCATCATTGCCCACCCTTCATTGTAGAACGAGCATTTGCAGACTGGAGTGGCACTTCCGTCGGTCAGAGGATCCAGCCTTACCCACCGACACCGACGTCTCTGACAGCCGGACCTCCCGTCCCTGACAAGCTGGCCACCTCTGGGGACAGCCGTTCCGTTGCTGGCAGTGCTGTCCAGCCACGTCCTCCGGCCCCTGCCCTGGCCTGACCCCGCCCGCTGGGACCCCCAGCCCTGCCTTCGCGTGTGAGCATCCCCGCTGCTCCCTGGTGCCCCCTGCTTTCCTCTCTCATCCCGCCCACCTCACTGCTCTACAGCTGTCTCCCCCCCACCCCATGGACAGTGACACCCCGAAAGCAGGGCCGTGCCGTGTCTTTCCCTAGGTTGGAGTTTGACATATAATCAGCGCCTAATAATTGCTAAGGCAGTGACATCTTTCATGGTCAGAGTGCATTTTGCTTTTTCTGAGAGCCATCTGCCCTGTACCTTCCTGGCTGCGCCCTCAGAGGCTGTGTCTTCCCAAACAAGAACGAGGCTGGCCTCCTGACCCTGAACTGCCCCACTGGGCCTCTGCCCCGACCTCTATACACCTCTTTCTTTACTGCCAATGGGCCGTGGTGTTCTCCTCTTCCAGAACATCCTTCCCGACCACTCACTGGCTTCCCAAATGTCGGTGTAACTGGGGGATGGATTGTCTGGTGCCCATACTTCCCCTGTCCTCGCTCTGTCCCAAAGCCCGGAAACACAGGACCCCTGAGAACTGCGTCGACCCTTCGGTGGCCACGCTTCTCCCTCTTCCTTTCTCCTTCCTTGGTGTTTTTTGAGCATCTACTCTATGCCCCGGTGGGGGTCCCGGAGACACACCCGATGTCAGTGCCTCTCCCCTGCAAATTTACCCCACTGGTACGTCCTCTGGGGACCCCGCTCTCATTCCCACCCAGATAGATACCTACAGAGAGACGCCTGGTGGGGGGTCTGAGGACCCCGGCTCTAGAGTCCCGGTTTAGTTGTGTTTGGCTGCGTGACCCAGGCGAGCCACCTGCCTTCTCTCAGCCTCAGGATCCGTCTCTTCCAAATGGATGTTTTGTCGTAAACAGTCTCTAAGGTTTCTTCTGCTTGTTCAGGGCTCAGCGAGCTTGCTTGGTACACGCAGCGGAACCCAGCCCCGTTTACACGCACGTCGCCTCGGCAAACGGGAAACAAAGGCGTGGTGCGGAGAGTTGGCGCTACGGAGAGGTGACACCAAGGGCAGCAGGGGGACTGCTTAATGTAAGAGGAGGGCCGCGGGTTGGGTCTGGAACCAGGTGGGAGTAGGTAGGACAGGGGCCAGCGGGAGGCGTGGCAGGTGGGAAGAAATAAG